GAGGAAGCTCAGGTCCCAATTTGCCACATAAGGCGGGTCATCTTGTGCGCATCCCAAAATCTCGTTGAGCTGGCTGACATCTTTCTGCAACACGCCAGGGACGGTGCCGATGGTGTGGCCGAGGATGTGAACTGCGGAGTAGAAGCAAAGCGCCTTGTCCGACTCGATGTGCAAGTCCTAGTGAGGGCTCTTCTGGGAAACAAAAGCCCTTCAAGTTGCGGCCACCTATCCATCTTCAATAATTTTCTAACCCAAAAGAAAACGTGAGATGTTGAAGGTTTGCTGTTGCAGCACCTTGTGACAGTCCAGGAAGGTAAACCAAAAGCTTCCGCCTCTTCGAGGCAAGCACCTTCACAACTCTGGCAATTGGACTGACTGATCGGAGACGGACTGCTTTTATAACTGAAGTCCGATGTAGACCACCTCTCTGATAATGAGTTTGACTTGACAACTCTATATTATACGATTACAGGGCAGTGGATGACCTTCTCCGATGGGTTTGCGCCGAGCTCAGCGAAGGACCTAGGAAACTGCCACAATATCTGTCTACCTTCCATGCAACTTAGGTCTTAAGCCGTGCAGTGGGGTCCATCCATTGAGCCAGCCAGTAAGAAGGCAATGCTTCCTAGCTACGTGCATATCTCTAAAACGACTTGCGACTGCCAGCAGGGTATGAGTTCCTCGACTGTCTAAAACGAAGCCCTCCGGCACGCAAAGAACTTGCATTCTTGCCTTGAACACACCGTGAGCAGGCTGCGAGACATGGAGAGGAAAAGGAGGGCGGACCAGATTGCTGTGGCCATGCCCACCAGGCGCGCAAAGAAAATGGGCCAACTGAACATAGGGATGGCCAAAGGATACCTCAAAGTAGGGAAAGGCTCTTTGAGCTTTCAGGCTTCTGGCTTTATCCATTGTGGTTTCTATTTGGCGCTTCCAAAAACATAGGAGACCCTTCCATATGCTGAGAGTCTCTTAGACGAGAGCTGCCGAGATGACAAGCTGGGAACTTTCACTGCCATGCAGACCAAGAGCCAGTCAATATCTTGTGAGAAAGTTTGCTTGTAGGTTTCAGGGCTCAACACTCTAAATTCTCTCAAATTGGACGTAGCTTCAGGTTTCTCTCATTGCTCCGTGGCGAAGATTGAAATCTTCGATTACCATGAATTTCTCTGAGTTTGTTAGATGAAATGGCACATACTCATTATTTCTGATAATATTTGAGATAGCTTTATCGATTGGTAATTTTTCTACTTGAAACGAAATAGATTCAAATTGCAGCATCTTTCATATATATACATATATATACCTCAATTTTGCGTGATTTTCCCTCGGAATGATTTTTCACGTGATTTTAAGATCTTTCTTCGGATATATTCGTGGCTGTTCGACGGAACGTTCAAAGCTGGGATTTTCGCCCACTAATTAATCGAGAGAAATGGTGCGGAAATTCCGGATTGGAGGTCTTGGGATGCAGGAATAAAATTCGTATGAGATTTGGAATCATTTCTTCTTTTCGGTTGTCTGCAGCTCTTTCTCCAGAGCGGGCATTTAAGCGCTCTTCTGATTCGCTACGCGATTAGAAATTTCTCTAGATTTTGAATTATTTCTTTCTTTTTAGTTATCTGCGTAGCAGTATCGTCGAATATATAGGTCTTATTTCGAGAATTAGAATTTTTTAGAATTGCATTCGTGATGAATTTTGCCATTTCTTATTTGGAGGAGGATTTAGATTGAAAATAGAACCCTTGGGATTTCTCTCCTATGAACTCGATAGGAGACCCGCTGATCTTCTTACGATTCTTTCCGCGTGATGCCGTTAATCATTATGGCATTTTCTTCCGCGGATTGTAATTGATTTTGCGGTTATCTCTCCCGTTTCGGATGGCAAGAGGGCACTTGGCGGCAGAGGAGCATACAACAGCAAAACGGCTCAACCGAGCCACCCATACCAGGTGCCGCGAGCAAGG